TGAACTGGATGGACTTTTGTCTTTTTTCAGCCAGACTAACTATGTAACTATATTTTTCGCTCCATAAGACAAACATTTCCCCCCCCACAATAATGGGGGGAAAATATCTGTCTTATGGAGCGAATATGTAGCGGCCGGCCTGGTATACCCCCGCCATAACTGTGTTAGAATACTGGGCTGGCCACTTGGCTCTACTGTGCAGAAGAACCTGCTCCTTGGTACTACCTGTTCCTTAGTCCAGCGGTGTCCTTACAGTCTTCTCTCCCTGATGCCGGCATCTTCATTGTGGGCAACCGGCAGTGACAGCTTGCGGCTTCACAGCCAGGTGCCCACTGCGCATATGCGAGAAGCGCTGTGCCTTGTGAATGGCCCTGTAGCCTTGTGGAACCTATTATGTGTCCCAGAAGACTACGGGGAGGGAGGACAATTCCATGGAAGTGGGAGAGGGTACCTGTCAAATTTGGGTGTGTCCGCAGTCTCTGGCCGTCTCCTGTACTGTGTTCGCAGTCTCTGGTCATCTTCTGTACTATGGTGTCTCTGATCAATAGTGGTTTAAGAAACAGATGATCAGTGGAACGTGTTCCCCGCTGATTATCTCAGCACACAGACGGCCAGTGTATGAAGCAGTGAAGTCAGCCCTTCACTGGCGATCTGTGTTCTCCCTCCAGATTCTCCAGCCCAGAGGTGGAGAATCGGGGGAACCGCAAAGGAAGCAGCGATAATTTATTGCTGCTTAGTAAACCGCGTTTGACTGATCTCGTACTGTTATCTCGCGAGATTACAGTAACAGCAGGCATTTTCCAGTGTTCAAAGCGTTTGTAGATCGCTTCTCTCTTCATTCAGAGAAGTGATCTACACCGCTTCAAAAAAAAGGCATCCAGAGGAGAACTCTCCCTCTGAGAATGCCAGAGAACTGAGCAGCGGTCATTTACCACTGCATGATAAAAGGACACAAGTCTGTTATTTTTTTTAACCTCCTCTAACAGACCAAGCTGTCCAGCAGAATTGGCAGTTAGAGGGTTGTGATAAACCATTTACCACTGACAAGGGTGCTTACAATGGTCAGCTTTTATTTATATAAAAACGTTATCCCAAAAGGAAAAAATAGGTTTGCTGTAACTGCTTATAATGTGTCAGCTAGAGTTCAGATTTAACTTATTAGCCAAATCCATCCCTCCCCCCAATGTTGCTGTGCAAGGGTGTCTCTGTTCATCCCTCATAGATACAATGGAGCATAGCCACTCTAAGGTGTTCCATTTTTTTTCATCAGTTCAGTCACATTTTTTAACGGATCAGGTTACATTAGTTTTTCATCATTTTATATCCGTTTACATCTGCTTTTTTCATCCGTTTTTCATCCACTTACAACTTTTTCATTAGTTTACATCAGTTTTTTCATCCGTTTACATCCATTTACAACCGTTTTTCATCCACTTGCATCTTTCATCAGTTTACATCCATTTTCATCCATTTACATCAGTTTTAGATCTGTTTACATCTGTTTTTCATTCACTTACATCCATTTTTGTCTGTTTACATCCGTTGATGTCGGTTTACATCAGTTTGATCCATTTTTTTTTTTACAGATGTAAAACTGTTTTCTTCCATTCAAAACAATCCAGTTTACATCCGTTTACATCTGCTAGTCCATAGAAATACAAGAGTGTCCGTTTTTCATCCCGGAACGCCTGTGTGAAAGAGGCCCTAGACAGGATGTGTGTTACTGGTCTGATCACCAGGTGAAAATTAATTTAAAAGAAGGCTAAAAAAGAAATGTAATGCAGCCACTACATCTAAGGACTGGTAAGCTGCAATATATAACATTTCTGTTCTTAGGTTTAGTTCTTCTTCCATTTCCTAGCTTGCGGTATATGGATTGAATTTTTTTTTTCTCCTTTTGGGATAAAGGTTTTTACATAGATGGGCAGCACAGTGGCTAAATGGTTAGCACTTCCACCTGGCAGTACTAGGGTCATTGGTTCAAATCCCAGCCATGACACCACCTGCCTGGAGTTTGCATGTTCTCCCTGTGCCTGTATTGGTTTTGTTCGATTACTCCAGTTTCCTCCCACACTCCAAAGACATGCTGGTAGGTTAATTGGCTCCTGTCTAAATTGCCCCTAGTATATGGATGTATGAATGTAAGTTAGGGACCTTAGATTGTACGCCCCTTGAGGGTTAGGGACCGATGTGAATGTACAATATATATGTAAAGCACTGAATAAATTGATGGTACCTGAAATAAATAAATAGATAAATAAAAACTGATCATTGTAAGCACCCCTGTCACTGTTAAATGGTTTCTCATCCCTGTAACTGATGCATCTGGAAGAGAGCTTGTTTTTTTAAAAAAAAAAAAATGATGGACTTACTGGCCAGATCACCAGGTGAAAAGGAGAGCCTAAAAAAGAAATGTAATGCAGCCACCACAGGACTGGTAAGCTGCAATATGTTACATTTTTGTTCTTAGGTTTAGTTCCACTTTCATGTCCCTAGATTGCAACATATGGATTGGATTGGGCACTGACCACATGAAATTCGATGCAGGAAATGGTACAGACTGAAGTTGGAGCACACTGAGGTCTGTCCCATAGGAGGTCATGGGAGATGCTGCTAGAGGAAGTCATGGGAGATGCTGCTAGAGGAAGAAATGTAGTGACACCCTGGGGGGGGGGGGGGGGGCTTGTAAATATCAGGAGGGGTCTCTGGTCATGTAGTATCAACATATGAGTCAAAGTGTGAAAGATTCAGATGGTTTTCTTCCATGGATAGTATCGACCATTCCACCATGGGAAAGGGAAACCTGAATCAGCAGAGAGCAGGGTGAAGGCCATTAAACTGAAACCATTCGCTGACCAACTCTTCACTTTCAATCTCAGTCACACGGGAAGAGAGGGAATGCACTACAGCTTGCACAATGCAGTCCGTGGAATCTGTGTACATAGGTCACCATGTCTGCTGATCCATCAATTTAAAGCCAAAGCTTAACCCCTTGGTGCTGGCACCTCATTGCTACTTGCGATTGCGAGCTTTCCAATCATGCTGCAGTGACCGCCAATCACGGCGGTCACAGGACCTTAAACCCCCCTGGCACCTCCTGGAACTTTAAGGGGTTTTTGTGATGCTAGGAGGCAGGGCGGGGTTTAGGGTCATGTGGCCATTGTGAGTGGCTGCCACAGCAGTCACATGATTGGAAATACGTGTCGGAATGCACAGGGCATGCACTCCCTACATGGAAAAAATATATATATTTGAAATATATTTAAAAAATATTCTTCCCAAATATATTGGCATATAATTGAACTGCTACAATTTTGGCCATATTCTATAGATAGATAGATAGATCGCATGTTGAAATGCATTTTTATTGCAAAATATATGAAAAATATTTTTAGTAATACATTTCAAATATACTGTATGTCTCTTAAAAATACAAATCTACATTTTTGGAATGCATTTACAAATATGTTAAAATTACTATGTGAAAATTATGTTACTGTTTATTTGTTAAAATCTGAAGAATACATTTAAAAAGATTATATTTTTGAAAAAAAATTTTCATATTCAACTGTGGGAATAGGATTATAATTTTTTTTTTTTTTTTCGATGGTTGAACTGGATGGACTTTTGTCGTTTTTTTTTTTTTTCAGCCAGACTATGTACTATTATATTTTTTGAAAAAAAAATGCATTTCAACGTGTGTGTGTGTGTGTGTACAGTATATATATATTGTAAAGCGCTGGGCAAACTGTTGATGCTATGTAAATCCTGTATAATAATATATTGAATATGGCCAAAATTGTAGCATTTCAAATATGTCACTACAGTATATTTGGGAAGAATATATTTTAAAATATATTTTTATTCCATATGGGTCTTGGCATGTGTTTGTATTGGGTACGTAAATATGCAGCCTTGCGGCGTCAAGGCTCGGCTGCCGAGACGCCAGATATTTGAGTACCGTCGGCACCATTTAATCTGCCTATATTTTGACTTCTCTGGTTCGTCCTTTTTCCCCCCTCATCAGACTATTATTTATTTTTATTTTTTTTAAATAAAACTTTTCCATTTTCATGACATACCTTACTTTAGATGCAGTGATGTCATTACTGGGTTTTTGTGCTTCTCTATGCAATATAGGCAAATCATGGATGCTTAGAGGGGCTGGGCAGGGTGCTGTACATAGCTTCCTAATACCATTACAGCTCCCTGTCTCCACCTTAAGAACCCTCAGCCTTTATACAAGCAGTGGGCCCTCTGCTTATTTTTTACACTACAATCATGAGATGAATTTAGGACAGAACCAATCCCCCCCCCCCCAATCCCAATCAATTCCCTTAAAATGGTTGTAAACCTCAGACATGGAATATGAACAAAGCATATCCCTCAATAGTATGTACTTCAATCAGTCCAGAGGGCTAAGTGTCATTACCATCTGCTTCTTGCCTCTGCTATCTGTAAGAATCACTTCTGACATTTTCCTGACACCAAGAGAAATAAGATAACGGGGAGGGAGGTCCAGCACACAGCCTGTGGTTGACAGCCTCAGCTCTGTGCTATGTAAAGGGGTGTGTGTTCCTTTTTCTCTACAATGTGGCAGAAATATAAGTATTGTCATATGACCAAAATACTGGTTTAGCCGATTAATAAATTCATCAGCATTGGTGATATACATTTGTTTTTTTTTTAAACACTACATTAAAGATGACAGATTACATTTAAAGACACATATTTTATTAAAACAAACTAGTACAACCCATAAAGCAACATGTTATCCCTAAGGTGGAGGTAAAATTAGTTACATTCTTGGTTCTGAGTTTGGCGCCCAGGCTGATGGCTGGGCCTCAGAGTATGGGTGAGCGGAGTGCAAACCCTCAGGATTCCCTTGAATTTCCACGAGGTACAGCATCGGGTTATATAAATGAGCCAGAATAGCCAGAGAGTGATCTACACCATTGCGTGACTGAGGAAAACAGTCCTAGAGGGGGGGGGGGGGGAAATTAAGCAATGACACATCCTCCTTTCTCCTTGAATGGGTTCTTGTCTTCTGGAATGCCCTTTACGAGAGGGTCCTCGCCGGAGTTGCCTTCGATGTAAGTCTTGATCTCTTCACACATTTTGGAGACCTTCAAGCAGAAGAAAGGAAGATATTGATGATCAGGTTGGTTGGAAATGACTTGCTAACTTTTGAAATTTGAAAGAGAAGGTCCAGTTATGGCCCATTTCCATCTATGCGAGGTGGGATTGTGTGCATTACCACGCTTTTGAATGCCCCCCCTCCAATGAATTAAGGCAATGCACTATAGTACGTTGTGGCACCTCTTTAGTTACGTTTTGATGAGTTGGCAGCCTATTGACTTCAATGGGCTGCCGTAACACAACGTGCTTTGATGCTTGACATGATGCTCATTAACATACCACACAAATGGGTTATTAAGGCCTTCGGTTCCTTGCAATATGTCTTTATTATACTGAAACCATGAAAAGGATTTGATTAGATATAAGAATTGTCCCTAGTGGAGTGTAATACAAGAAAATATATAAAATAAAAAATCCCTTGTTGTGTGTTCCTACTTTATTCTTAGGGTGGAACTACATACAGTGATCTAAACTGTGGCAGATCAAAGGCAGCCAATCTAATTGGCTGGTGGTGTCTTCAAGGAGGTGAGTTGGCTAGGTTGGCTGTCAAGCAGAGGGTCCTTTGACAATCTACTTGATATCTATGCAGTAGATGTACAGTTGGAGAGCTGGACTTCAAGGCGACCAGGATTCAATGATGCAAAGGATCGAACATTTTTAAGCTCCTCTTCATCAACATAGGATTTTTCAAGGTATCCCTAGAGAACCTTGGTATATTATACAGGATTTATATAGCGCCAACAGTTTGCTCAGCACTTTACAAAATGAAAGTAGACATTACAGTTACAATACAATTTGGTAGAAGAGGAAACAGAGGGCCCGGCTCGTTAGAGCTTACAATCTAGGAGGAAGGGTTGAGTGATACAAAAGGTAATAGCTGTGGGGGGATGAGCTGATGGAGGAAATAAATGGCGGTTTACTAGGTAGAAGCAGGATAGGCTTCTTTAAAGAGGTTTTCAGGGATCGTCTAAAGGTGGATAGATTAGGAGACAGCCAGACAGATGGGGGTAGGGAGTTCCATAGCATGGGAGAAGCTCAGGAGAAGTCCTAGAGGCAAGCATGGGAGGAGGTGACATGGGAAATCGAGAGCAGAAGGTCTTGAGAGGATAGAATAGAGCGGTTTGGTTGATACTTTGAGACCAGGTTGGTGATGTAGCTGGGGGCAGAGATGTGGATGGCTTTGTAAGTTGTTAGTATTTTTGAATTTTATTCATTGGGCATGTAGAAGCCAGTGGAGGGATTGACAGAGAGGGGTAACAGACACTGAACAGTTGGTAAGGTGAAAGAGCCTGGCAGCAGTATTCATGGACAGGAGTGGGGATAGCCTATGTAAAGGTAAGCCAATGAGGATTATACAAAAGATAAGAGCACCATAAAAATTAAATACGTCCAGTAGAAGGTTTATTAAACCTGGTGCCCAATGTTTATGATCCCTGAGGAACACATTGGTGCCTACTTTTTTATTCCTTAAACCTACTAGATGTATTCAATCGTTGTGGCACTCTTGTCTTTTGCATACTCAGGTTCTCTAGGGACATCATGAAAAACCTCATGTTGATGCAGAGGAGCTTGAAAATGTCTGACCCTTCCTCATACAGATTGGGCACCAGGTTTAATAAACCTTCTACTGGACGTACTTATTTGCTGTGGCGCTTTCATCTTTCGTATACCTAGGTTCTCCAGGGACATCATGAAAAACTCCATGTTGATGAAGAGGAGCTTCAGAAAGTTGACCCTTTTGAGGTGGATCTACTAAAACTGGAGCACACAGAATTTGGTGCAGTTGTGCATGGTAGCCAATCAGCTTCTAACTTCAGCTTGTTCTTACATAGTCTGGCAGAAAAAAGACAAAAATCCAACCATTAAAAAAAAAAGTTAGAATCCTATACGCACAGTTGATCCAGAGGAAGGCAAAAAACCCCAGCAAAGCATGATCTAATTTGCTCCTGCAGGGAAAAGAAATCCTTCCTCATTCCCCGAGCAGCAATCGGATATTCCCTGGATCAACTTTACCTAAAAATGTTCGTATCCAGTTATATTCTGTGTATCTAAGAAACAACCAAGGCCGTTTTTTTAAAGCAATCCACTGAGCTGGCCAGAACCAACTCTTGAGGGAGTCTATTCCACATTTCACAGCTCTTACTGTGAAGAAACCTTTCCATCTTTGGAGATTAAATCTCTTTTCCTCCAGACGTGCCCCCTTGTCCTCTGTGATGACCTCAGGGTGAATAGCTCTACACCAAGTTCACTATATGAACCACTGATGTATTTATATATGGAGATCATATCCCCCCCTTATGTATTATACATGGAGATCATATCCGCCCTTACATATTATACATGGAGATCATATCCCCCCCTTACGTATTATAAATGGAGATCATATCCCCCCCCCTTACGTATTATATAATGGAGATCATATCCCCTTATGTATTATACATGGAGATCATATCCCCCCTTTATTTATTATACATGGAGATCATATCCCCCTTACGTATTATACATGGAGATCATATCCCCCCCCCTTATGTATTATACATGGAGATCATATCCCCCCTTATGTATTATACATGGAGATCATATCCCCCCTTATGTATTATACATGGTGATCATATCCCCCCTTATGTATTATACATGGTGATCATATCCCCCTTATTTATTATACATGGAGATCATATCCCCCCTTATGTATTCTACATGGAGATCATATCCCCCCTTATGTATTATACATGGAGATCATATCCCCCCTTATGTATTATACATGGTGATCATATCCCCCCTTATGTATTATACATGGTGATCATATCCCCCCTTATGTATTATATATGGTGATCATATCCCCCCTTATGTATTATACATGGAGATCATATCCCCCCTTATGTATTATACATGGTGATCATATCCCCCCTTATGTATTATACATGGTGATCATATCCCCCTTATGTATTATACATGGAGATCATATCCCCCCTTATGTATTATACATGGTGATCATATCCCCCCCCCCTTAATCTCCTCTTCTCAAAAGAGAATAATTCAGTTCCTCTAATCTTTCCTCATAGCTGAGCTCCTCCATGCCTCATGTTCTATTAAGCTTTGGCAGTAAACCCTGGAAGCTGACTGGCTTCTATACAGAGTTGCACTGGATTTAGTAAGTAACCCCCATTGCGTCACTGAATCCTGGTCACCTTGAAGTCCAGCACTCATACAACACACTGAACATCTGCACATCTACAACATGCTGTACAGTACATTTTCTACATAAATATCAAGTAGATTGCCAACTGTTTTCTGTATGTTGTAGCCATGCTCATCATGGTGTTCCTAGAGAATATACAAAAAATGAGAGCACCACAACAATTGAATACGTCCAATGGAAGGTTTATTAAACCTGCAGCCCAATCTGTATGATGTCTGCAGAAGGAGTATTTTTGAGCTCCCAAAATGCATTAGATGCCCACATTTTTATTGTGTTTAATAAACCTTCCATTGGACGCATTCAATTGTTGTGACACTCTTGTCTTTCATATACCCGGGTTCTATAAGGATATCATGAAAAAAAAACAAGTTCATGAAACGGAGCTTCAAAAAGTTTGACTCGTTGCATCATTGAATCTCGGTCACTTTGAAGTCCAGAGCTCCTACAACATCCATCTACTACATAGATATCAAGAAGGTTGTCAAAGAACCCTCTGCTTAACAGCCAACATAGCCAGCTCACCTCGAAGAAACCACCAGCCAATCAGACTGGCTTCCTTTGAATGCTTAAAGGTAGTCATTTTTGGAGAACTATTTTATATTTACAATTATATTTCCCCAGGAACCTTGTGCAATACCCCCCATGCTGTTGAAGAACAGCCTCAAAAGGTTTTACCCATGATTCATTCCTGGTCACCTTGGAATGCAGCGCTCCTGCAGCGCACATCTGGCTGTCAAATAACCCTCTGCTTGACGACCAACCTAGTCAACTTACCTCCTTGAAGACATTACCGGCCACTCAAATTGACTGCCTTTTGAATAGAGATAGGTAGAGATTTTTTTTTTTAAATTATATTTTAAAATGCTATTTTATTTTTAATATTTTATATTTTGTATTGTATTCAAGGAAACTTCTACTAGACGTATTTAATTTTTGTGATGTTCTTGTCTTTTGTATACTCTATAGACTCACCCTGGGAACTTTATGCGATACTCCATGTCGGTGAAGAGCAGACTCAAAAATGTTACCCTTTCCATCATTGATCACCTTGGAGTCCAGTGCTCCACTGACATGTAAACTACATAGCTATCATGCTGGCTGTCAAAGGACCTTCTGCTTGACAGCCAACTTTCCTCTTTGAAGACACCACTGGCCACTCAAATCAACTGCCTTTGAATGATAAAAGGTAGAGGTTTTTTTTTTTTTTTAATTGTATTTTAGATTTTTTTGTGACAATTTAGTAATTTATTCACGCAGTGCTGTAAAGTTACTGAAAGATCCACTTCAAAAGCATTTTTGAAATTTTCCTATCTCCTTCCCCTCCAAGTCCCCACTGTGCTAACCTAAACTACCCTCACCCTTCCTAGCTGACTATTTCCTGAGTTCTGGCTTCAAGTTCCCTCGGGTTCCGCTGCAATGTTTACATACGGTCAGACGTCTTCTTCCACTGCAGATGTGCATTAGAAGTATATTCACTTCCATGGGGAAGGGAGCTTGGATCTGTCCAAAATGCAGTGATTACCTGCAGCTGATCAGCCCTAGATGCAGTCTGTGTCCAGGGTTGATCATCCATGGTTAATCACTTCATGTCCGATTTATATAGTACTGTGCAAAAAGTTAGACGGGTGTGAAAAAGTGCTGTAAATGAAGAATGCTTCCAAAAATAGTGTTAATAGTTTAACTTTCCATTTTGTTAATTGATAAAAAATAAAGAACAGAAGAGATCCAAATCAATCAATATTTGGTGTGACCAACCCAGCATAAGTTCTTCTAGGTAGACTTGCACAA